TTATAGTAGTTTTTGGTGGGAGGGCTTATTTGCTGCAAGTTATTTCATTATTACTGGAAGAAGCAGCCCAGTACCTGGTTTTCTGTGTGTTCATAATGTCATGTGATTTAATTTTTAAAATCTACTCGAGCTTTAACAATTGAAGCTCTCTGTGAAGAGGTTGATATTGATGATGATCTTGCATTCTTTCTCCTTATCCTTTCACTATCTTAGCAAAACAAGCAAACAAACTCACAATGTTTAAATATTAATTATAGCTTAGGTCATAGTGGTTTGTTTAGTGGTTCTTTCATTAGGGGCTTGTGGATGCTAAACCTTTTTTTTTTTTTAAGAAAGCAGATTTAGTGAGAGGACAGAAAAGCTCCCACAGTGGGAGGGGACGTGAAGAGGTTACCCGGATGCTAAACACTTTAAGTCTCTCATTTTTTAATAGTAGTTTGGCTCTCTTAAAAGTCCAGATTCAAGGTTACTTTTCTTCAGATCTTTGAAGATAGTACTAGATCATCTTCTGGCATTTAGCATTGCTGATGAGACGTCTGACTCATGGGATTTTTTTGTTTGTTTGCTTATCTCTTTGGCTAATTTGAATTCTTTTGGTAGCTTTTAGGATTTTTCTCATTATCTTTGTTATTCTGGGTTTCATTGTGATGTGTTTAACCGTTTGATATTTTTAGTTTTTTCTTTTCTTTTTTGAGTCAGAGTCTCACTCTGTCGCCCAGGCTGGAGTGCAGTGGCACGCTCCCGGCCACTGCAGCCTTGACCTGCTGGGCTCCGGCGATCCTTCCACCTCAGCCTTGCAAGTAGCTGGAACTACAGGCGCGCGCTACCATCCCCGGCTGATTTTGATTTACTGTAGAGATGAGGTCTCGAACCCGTGGGCTCAGGCAATCCACTCACCTCAGCCTCCCAAGGTGCGGGATTACAGGCTGAGCCACCGAGCCCAGCTTTTTCTTTTGTTTTTAAGAAATTTATCCAGCTTGACTCTTGGTTCAAATAATACTTATATCTGTCTTTGTTTTATGATAATTTTCAGTCATCATTTCTTCTGGATCTATTTTTTAATGCCATTTGACTTTTTTTCTTTTAATTGATATAAAATTCATATACTGTAAACACATTTTAAAGTGTTCAATTCATTGGTTTTCAGTATATTTTCAAAGTTGTATAACTACCATCACTATCTATCTAATCTCAGTGTATTTTTATCACTCAATAAAGAAACTCTGTACTAATTAGTAGTCACTCTGTTTACCTTCACCCACTATGCCTTGGCAAACACTAATCTACATTCTGTCTCTGTAGATTTGCTTATTTTGGACATCTCATATAAATGGAATTATACAATATGAGGCATTTTGTGACTGGCTTCTTTAAGCATGATGTTTTCAAGGTTTATCCATGTTGTAGCATGTAACAGTACTTCATTTATTTTTGTGGCTGAATAATAGTCCACATTTTGTTATGTCTTTCATCATTTGATGGACATTTGGGTAGTTTCCACTTTTAGCTATTATGAATAATGCTGCTATGAACATTCACATACTAACTTTAACTTGCTCTTTTACTGTGTACAATCTAACCATTCATAGAGTTTTAATTTCTTT